ACTGTTTATCCATACTAATGCCCTAATGATATGACTCTCATGATCACCCACACTAATATCATCATATGATATTTAACGGAGGCATTCAGCATGCCTACTATGTAATATTATTGCCCAATTAATATTACCTACGTAAGGAATATTTTGATGATTTTGATCTTATAAAGATTTGTATCATCTGAATATTTCACATGTATATACACACACACACAAAAAACATAATATCTTGAAACTGACATTGGTTCTCAAGGCATACACTAATACACCATTGTAAGAACCTACGCCTTTTTTCCATTGGACCAGATTCGAAGCACAATGGTGAGTCAAAGACTCTGGATCTTGTCATGCCTATAGCTCTTCCAGCTATTTTGCCCTAACCGGTGGTGCCAAATGAGTCCCTAAAGCTCCCTTCCGAGATTAGTTTCCATGCAATGTCTAGTACCCCTTCTTTTGCCTCCTTACGGTTCGTGGGCCAGTTGAATGATGCTTCCATTCAAATCTTTGTGAATGATGGGTTGAATTTGATTTTCATCCAAGCCCGTGTTGCTAAGTATCTTGGTCTACCCAGTGAATTTGTTTTACCACCTACTACTGTGGTTGTTGGGAATGGGACTAAATTGTCCATAAAAGGTTGTGTTCGTTCTATCAAGATAATTGTCCAAGGGCATGATATAGCGGTCGATTTATAATTACAGTAAAATCTCTCTATAGTGATACTCTATATAAGAATAAACTCTACATGGTCATAAAAAATTATATTCCCAACTTGGGATAGTTATAAATAAGAATAAACTCCACATTGTAATAAGTTATAATTTTTTCAATTCCTGTCTTAAGGAAAGTTGCCTCCACATAGTAATAATTATGTGTGTATTGCAAATGAATATATTATTTGTTACATTAAAGGTTTAAGATGAAATAAAATATTTATTTAAAATTGTTTGGGAGAATAATTTGTGCTTTAGAGTTGTTATCACATCTTTTAACTTGCGAGTACATTACTCGCTAGCATGGACATATTATTATTGAAGCCAAAATATTTATAGCTTCTCAAGCATGTTTTGAGCTTCTTGGCACGAAACTTTTTGTATTTCTGTACTATCATCCTCGTGATTATTTCCTTTCTTTTCTTGTGTAATTGTAGCAATGATTTTTTCTTCAGTTAAAGTATACATGACTTGTTGCTCATTTGAATTATGAGGAAGACATTAATATCTATTCAATTAGTATAGTAAAGTTGTCAAATCTGATTACTCAATTCTATAATGACTCTTTGATTCTTCTCATCCTCTTTATTTATAACTTGCAATTTATTGACATCAGGGGTCCTAATTTTGTAATGCTTAAAACAATTAGCAATTGTTTGTGCACTCATATCAGTTTAACCATGCAGCGACTATATTTACAATTCCATCCAGGACATTTATCTTTACTAGTTCTAAGATACGATCTTCTATTCGTTTAAAAAATAGGCAATTGAAGCGCTGAATTGAAATCATAATACTATTAAAACATGAATTGAAATCTTAATACTGTACTACTAAAACATGAATTATAAACTAAGAAATTTTTGTAACTACACCTCTATAAAATTTTAACCTCCTTATAGTAATAAAATTAATTAATCACACTATTATGACTATAGAGAGGTTTTACTATATTATCATTCCATGGGTCGGATCTCGTCTTAGGCATCACCTGGTTGAGTACTCTTGGCACCTTATTGTTGAATTTTAATACTTTAATATTGGGTTTTACTTTTAGGGACAAGATGGTTGAATTACAAGGGATGGGAGTTGCTTTGATTGCGTAAGTACAATATAGTTCTTTGTGTTGCCTTCAAGAATCCCAAGTAACTGTTATGTTCTTTTGTTTGGAAGTATTGCCAATGATTGACTCAGAGCACTCAGAGATACCACAGATCGTGAGTCGATTTTACACCAATTTCTATCAGTATTCACTCGACCCAAAGGCCTTCCTCTCACTCAATCTATTGATCACGTCATTCCCTTACAACCAAGCATAGCACCCGTGAACATCAAATCGTACAACTATCCTCATTTTAAAAAAATCAAGATTGAAAAGCTTGTCCAAGAAATGCTACAGGATGGACTAATTAGGCCAAGTACTAGCCCATTCTCGTCTCCTTTCCTATTAATAATAATAATAAAAAAAGATGACACATGACGATTTTGCATAGATTATAAGGCCTTGAATTTGGTCACAATTAAGGATCGCTTTCCAATTTTGACTGTGGATTAAGTTCTTTGATGAACTCCACGGCGCTTAGGTTTTCTCTAAATTGGATTTGTTAGCTGGCCACCATCAAATTCGCATAAGGGAATCGGATATTGCTAAGACTGCATTCAAAACGGATGAAGGGCATTATGAGTATTTAGTCATACATTTTGGCTTGATAAATGCCCCTGCCACATCCTAGGCTACGATGAATGAGACATTTAGGCCTTATCTCCATCACTTTGTTCTAGTGTTCTTCAACAACATCCTTGTGCATAATCCGGTTTGGGAATCTCATCTTGCATTTGACGATAGTTCTTCGAACACTACAAGATCATGGCTTTGTGGCAAAGCGGTCCAAGTGTGACTTTGGCAAATATTATATCCGGTACCTTAAGCATGGAGATAGGGAAAATCCAACCAATTTTGGAGTGGCCTATTCCATCTTTGATAAAGAGTTTTGAGAGGATTCTTGGGCCTCACCAGCTATTACCGTCAGTTATTCATGGTTTTGCTCAAATGGTTGCTTCTCTAACTGTTTTACTTCAGAAGGATGGGTTTATTTGGTCTTTCCAGGCACAACAGGCTTGCATTGACCTCAGTTCTGATATTGGCCTTACCAAATTTTACCTTGCCATTTACCATCGAGACAGATGCCTCAGGTTCACGTATAGGGGTGGTACTTACTCAAAAGGTTACCACATTACTTATTTTAGCAAGAAGCTCTCGTCTCGGATGGAACTAAGGTATAGGGGCAGTCCTTGCCATTTTTCTCTTTCTTTTTAGCTTTTCTTGTATTTCTCTCGCTCTTTAATTTTTCCCTCTATTCCTTATTTGTTTTTCATTTTTCTCACTCTCTTCCCTCACCTCCCTTTCTTCTTCCCCATTACTCCTCCACCACTGCCACTCCCTACCTTTTTCCAACTACACCGCCATAGTGTGCAATGAAATAACCATTGCCCAACAAATTTTTTTACTATAATTCTTCATATAAACTCAGCAACATATATCCACCCAATGACCCAAATCAATTGCACATCTTAACAAAAATCTATCTTTTTCTAACAAGACCTAAACCTAGAAAACATATACAGGAATAAAACTATCCAAAACCAAAAATCATAGCGAAACCCACTACTACACTACTAAAGAATGATGAAATGAAAAGACCATTTTACCTTCAGTATTTTAACAAAGCTTGGACGACATTAGGGTTTTAGGGGCTAATTAATTGTTTTTTGAAAATTCTAAGGTGATTTGATTAAAATCATCAAAGTTACGTGGAAACATGACTTTTTGAAACTATAGGGTGCATTTTGATTTTTTTTTTTTCTCTATAGCGATCACAAGGGAAAATATATATATATTTGAAGGTAAAGCAAAAGTACCTATGTCTCACCACCTCATTTAAATTTTAACGAGGGTTTATATCGTCCATTGATATTGGCATGTGTTACCACCCAAATTAATATAAAAAAATATGCTACATGATATCTTACCTAAGTTTATGTTATTACACATATAGCAAATAATATGTCATATGTCTAATGACACAACCAATATTCTGAAAATCGGACCGGATTGGCTGATCAGACCGGTTCGACTTGGAACTGGCGCCCTCTCTGGTTCGGTTTTCTCTAAAATCTGAAAAGGCAGTCAAACCGAATTGACCTGCGATTGGACCGTTGGAATAGTGCCGAATCACGGTCTAATCACAAGTCAATTCCGTCGAATTCTGGCACCGTTCGAGGGAGATAACACTACCATAAGACTCGTTGGCATCTCCATGACAAAACTCTTCCATTTTCAGTGGTCGTCATCCTACCATTTGTAGCTCGTTGTCCACCTATTGTTCGCATGATCAACATCTGTCTTTCCTAATTTCGATATATTCTGGTGCCGTTCGAACTCCCTAACACCACCATAAGAGTCGACGACATCTCTACACCAAAAGCCCTAGCATTCCAAACTTCGATTGGATATAGATCATCGTTGTCGCCACCAGTCTCTTCGCGCAACTGCCTAGGTCGCAAGGGTGTTTTGGATAGATTTCAAACCTTCAGGGATCCATGTAATTATTTAGGGATGTTTTTAATGAATTTCAAACATTTAAGGATTAAAGTATGATTTTACAAGACACGGTCCAATTGATCTGTTCGACCGATCGGACCACTTAGCCAGGGAACTGGGCCCTTGACCAAGTTAAGGCCCAGTCCGATTTTCAGAGCATTGGACACAACAAGATAATTTGCTTTGAGCTCAAACTTGAGCAGTTTTACTTTTAAACTTCACGCACTGTCATTTATGAAAAACTTGTTTATTTAGTTAAATGGATCCAAGCAATTTAATCTAAAACTTATTTACGAGCAATGTAGGACGTAACAAAGTCCCCACCTTGGACCTTACAACCTTCTAAGGCTGTTAAACTCATTCATCGAGTAGTAAGCCTATTGAAATACCAATGATTTACTACTCTATTGCATTAATTAATAAATATCATTATGATATATAATTTTGAAAATTAATCATACAAACTATTGTTTTATTGAACAATTATCACATTTCTAGACTGAGATAGTGAGATTTTCCGTGTACATATTTCTCGCAAAAGAAGTGCCACTCACTTCATAATCGTATGGCACAGCTTTGTTGGGTTAAATCTAACGGCTTAATAATTATATTTGAAAATATCGGAATTTTTCAAAAAAGTAAAGGGGAAGGTAACCGATATTTCAAATTTTATCCCCATTTTACCCTTCAGACACGCGTATTTACTTTCGTATCATTTAATTGTTAATCTAATCGCAGTCTGTGAATCGTAAGATCGTTCGTGCTACTTTGAACACTCGTTTATCAAATTTCAGGTACGTCTGATCTCTCTCCCTTCTCTTTTTATTTTTATATGCAAATATTATGATCTTTTTGCACGAGTTTTTATCTCAATTATGGCTTAAGCACACTGAATTGTAACAAAAAAGTGGAACTGGGATCTTCGAATTATGGCTTAAATTCTATATATTTTTTTCGCATGTTTTGAATCTTTGATGCAAGTTTCGGTCTTCAGATTCGTTGTTTTTTTTTGTAGAATTTGAACGTTTAAAGGATTTCGAAACTGACCCAGAATTTGGTTTTGTAAGTAGTAGCTCTTGATAGTGATATTGTTGTGTTGTTTTGAGTTTCGGTTAGAGAAATGATGAATTTAAATGCTCGGTGAATTGGCTTTTTTTTTNATGTTTTGAATCTTTGATGCAAGTTTCGGTCTTCAGATTCGTTGTTTTTTTTTGTAGAATTTGAATGTTTAAAGGATTTCGAAACTGACCCAGAATTTGGTTTTGTAAGTAGTAGCTCTTGATAGTGATATTGTTGTGTTGTTTTGAGTTTCGGTTAGAGAAATGATGAATTTAAATGCTCGGTGAATTGGGTTTTTTTTTCTCTTTTTTGTTGTTATTTTTTGGAGGATGATTTGATTCATTTTGGTTTTATTGTGTTTGATCAGGGTTTGATTGATTAAGTACAATAGAGGTTGTGGTTGTGGTTGTGGTGTTTGGTTTTGGGGATTTTTTTCGAAGTGATTCGAAATGGAATCATCATCGAATCAGACCCCCGACTTTGATTATTTGTTCAAGTTGTTAATGATTGGAGATTCTGGTGTTGGAAAAAGTAGCCTCCTGTTGAGCTTCACTTCTGATACATTTGAAGATCTCTCGCCCACAATTGGTAAGTTTTATCGCTCAATAGCTAGGTGAGAGTGTGGGAATTATAACACATTTAGTGTTATGTTCGTCAACTTATTATTGTTAATAGAACTATTATTTTGATGGTTATATTACTTCATATCATGATATCGTGTAGGTGTTGATTTCAAGGTGAAATATGTTAACGTTGGAGGAAAGAAGCTGAAACTTGCAATTTGGGATACAGGTAATGACATATGCATGTACTCAAGCTTGATGTTATTGCCTATGTTAATCTGTTCTGTTGTTGGAACTGTGTCTAATCATCTGTTTAAAGTTTGATAGAAGTGCTGCCTATTATGTGGTTATAGACCTGATTAAATATTTTGATAAATACATAAATGTAAGCAGCAATGTGACGTGGTTGAATAAAATATACTTTGGATTGCCAGAATGGTGGTTTAAACCACAATAAACTTGATTTAACAGATTGTTTAATTCTATATCTGGGATCTCTCCTTTCTGAGCAAGGAGAGATACCACTTGGATGCAGAGGCTACTCATGCTAGTGCTAGAACTCTGTTCTGATAAACATTTGTGGTTTTAACTTCAACCGTAGATGCTGCGATACAAAGGCCTGCTCTACGTTTTGAAAATGGAAAAGACAGTTATAATAGTTGGAATGAGGAACCATTGGCTACTAGACTTGAGTGCAATTAACTGTTAATTTAAGGCTGGTTCTACTTAGGTATGCTTTATTCACTTACAATAGGAGCATTAACCACATGCTCTGAAGCTCTAGGTTTGTTCCGCATTCTGTGGAAAGGGAACCATATTCAAAGGAACATTAAATTTGTGGGTAGGTAGTTCATAACACCATGGAAAGCCACAATTGTTGGTTGTTTGCGACCTTTTGTAATACAAAAGTTGAATTTGTATCAGGACATAGTTATCATCAGAGCACATCTTCTGGTTTTATTTCTTCATAATTTTATTATATGTAACTCTGTGAAGTTTCAAAAGATAACATTTACTTTTCTGCATGTGTGTGTGATTATTTAGCTGGTCAGGAGAGATTCCGAACATTAACAAGTTCATACTACAGAGGTGCACAAGGGATAATTATGGGTAATGACTTTCACCTTTTTCTTTTTATAATTAATTTATTAATTGTTGAAGGAAATTTCCTGGTCAATCCTGCATTAAAGAAGTTGTAAGCTGAATATTCCTTGATTTACGTAAAATAAATTACACAAATTTTTGGTCAGTGCCGGATGTAGAAGTTGAGATGGGGTTATACATTTATTAATAACATTGGGCTATAAAACTGCAATCCTGATAAAGTATGATGTAGCCTGTTTGTCTGGGTGTCATGGATGACTGGAACTGATCCCCTAGTGAGTGAATTTTTTATCGCCACCTATATATTTTTTTTTTTTTTTTTGCCCTGTTTGATATTATACAGTTGTAAGTTCTGTTTTAATAAATTGAATTCTATGGTGTTTGCTTATGCTAAAGAAACATTGCTTCATTTTTTTCTAGTTCATTCCATTGAAGGTATTTTGTTATATTGCTTATCAGAGCGAAGTCAAAAAGGTGTATTTGATTATAAATATTCATCCTGTGTCATATTATAGCAGTGTGGAGGCATGAAAAATGAGTGTAACATCACCAGTCTATTTTTGTTATTTGCATTGTACATAAACAAGCTCAACTCCATTTTGTAAGAATTTGGGACAGGCTGATTGTCAATTCTCTTTCATAATTCCAAAATTTATGAGATTCATTAACTTCAGCAAGCATAGAATACTTTATGTTTTCTCTCCTAAAAAAATAAATAAATAAATAAGTAACCATGGTGTGTTCTGAAAAATTTGAAGTTAGGCACTTGGGTGCCTGTGCCATAATAATTTTTGCATTGTCTACATCTTGAAATACTGATATCTTATTAGGATGCCTTTCAACATTTGTTCTCCTGTTAATCTTGTGGCTTTCTGAAGAGGATTGTTGCCATAACTTCGATATCTTTTAGATTTTAAATTGTGTGGGCTACAAGCAGGCAGATGACTTTAAGTGATATGGTGATGACAAGAAAAGTCATGTTTAATTAAGCCATTCTACAACCTTGTACTGGAATGTGCCAAGAAGATATTAGACAAGTAGAGTGTGGTAACCTCATTAAAAGAGTACAAAAGAGTGACAACTGTTAAACATAAGAAGTTTCTTAAGTTGAAGAATCCAACCCTCAAGAAGTTTTGTTCAATTGAAGAATCCAATATCCTGAAAAGAGGCCAGTTCAGAATTTTTAACACATGATACAGGATGTAGGTAGCAGTTTTTAGGTTAAATCAGTAAGCTCATTAGTAGGTGTATATATATATAAAGAAATAGTCTGATGGTAGATAGCCCTATTTAATCTGTGTATTTGTTCACCAAGTTATGTGAAAGTAATTTTCAACCTGAATTTTGGTTGAAATTGTGTTGCCGGCCAACTGCGGATTTTGAGGTTTTTTTTTTTTTTATTCATTCTCTTTCTCTCTTCTTTTATGCAAACCTTGTGATACACAAAATGTCCTGCCTCTTTGTTGAAGTGGCTACTTAATTTAGAGATTGAATACCCAAGTATAAATTTATCTGGTGTTTGGTACACTGTCATCACTGTGCCTTTCATCTTTATTTGTTTCTCGTTCTGTTGTCGGTTTTTAGGAAACCCAAGTATAAATTTATCTGGTGTTTGGTCTGATTTTCTCAATTGTGACAGTTTATGATGTTACACGGCGAGAAACATTTACAAACCTTTCTGATATATGGGCAAAGGAAATTGACTTATACTCAACAAATCAAGAATGCATCAAGATGCTTGTTGGAAACAAAGTTGACAAGGTATTGCTATGGTGCTTTAACTACAGTTCTTTCTTTCCCTATAAAAGATTTTGTGGACTGGATTCTCAAATTGTTTATGATTTAAATGTTTTTATTTTTTTTATTTTTTTTATTTTTTTTATTTTTTTTATTGTTACCTTGGGAGAAAATGGAAAATTTGTGTCTGGTTGGGATGTTAAAATATGCTCCAGGTCTTTTTGTTGGCCCGTTAATCTTCTTTTGTATTCTTCTTCGAGTTTGTGCTGGATACCAACTTCTTCTGTTATAAATGAATTATTATGTGTCATTTGAAGTTAAACCATTTTTATTTCCAGGAAGGTGAAAGGGTTGTGACAAAAAAAGAGGGAATAAACTTTGCCAGGGAATATGGATGCCTTTTTATCGAATGCAGTGCTAAAACTCGTGTTAATGTACAGCAGTGCTTTGAAGAGCTTGTTTTAAAGGTATGGAAGATTGATAGATAATAACGTTACCATTTCTAATTTTCTGTTATCTGCTCAAACAGTCTAATACCCGTGTTGGTGTATGAGTAAAGCCCTGTAGTTGGAACTCATATTTTGTGGTAGTCAAACACGGTTCATATTTTCTTTTCTCTCTTGTTCTTCTGATTGTTTGTCTGGGGAATAACGGGACCAACAATGTTTGATCCTATGCAGATTTTAGATACACCTAGCCTCTTAGCGGAGGGATCAAAAGGATTGAAAAAGAACATTTTTAAACAGAAGCCGCCACAAGCCGATGCAGCCGCCGCAAGCGGTTGTTGCTGATCATTTGTTGCATTTCTCATCCATTGCCAAATCTCTAACTCATGTTTGATCATTCCTCCTCTGATCCCACAGAAATCATTTATTTCAATCCTGTTTGAATTAAACTGCAAATTTGCATGTAATATAGTAACGTTTGTGATTCTTGCTGCCTTTCAAAACTTGTTTGCGAAAACTCAATGTCAATTATAGTTGTTAATCACTTGTTGGTTAAGAAAGAATTACTGATACAGAGTCCTGCAGTTAATATCACATTCAAATTTTATACTATTAAAACCAGGGATTAAGCTTTTTATTAACGCTTGTAATATAATTTGTAAAAAAGATAAATGATTGAAGACCATTGTTCTTCTCCATTGTTATGCCTAAAAAATACGTATGGATGTCAGCACTTAAAAGGCAAAGAGTATTAGCTGTCAAAACTCAAACTGTCTCAAAGAGATATTATATAATTCATATCTCACATTTATCAAAATAAAGGATCAAGATGAATAAGAGTTTTTCATATGTCAAGGTAATTTGTAAAAGTATTCATTACGTGAGCTCAAAAGTGTATAAATGAGCACCACTCTTTATGAAAAAGAGGTTGATTAGGCATATGAGAGCTAGGCAAGCATTTGAGCTTTATTATTTTTTCTTTGTAAACAAAACATTTCTCCATTTTTTTATGTCTTACAGGTAATATCAGAAAAATAGTCAGTCTTTTATTTATGTTTTTACAAACATATATCATCACAACTCCATAATCAACCTTTATAATCAGATCACATATAATTTCTAAGAATATCTTAGTGCTTTGCACGTGCGAATCGTTAGTATCAAAATCACGTATCAACATGCATATATTAAAATAATTTGATTTTGATTTTATATATGTGTTTTTTTTTTTTTTTAAATATTGAAAATACATGAAAGCAACAAATAAAAAAAAAAATGAAAAATACGAAATTAATCATTTTCACAATCGGTAAAATTTATTCTTATATTTATTTTGTTCATCTCGAAGAGTTTATCTCAAATATGACAGTAATTGAATTCCGTTTGTCGTTTTGTATTGAAAATCTTCATTTGAATGAAAAATTTTATTTTAAAAGAAACAAGAAAAGAAAATAAAAAAGAAAGAAAGAAGTTATATATTTTTTTATGCAAAATATTAATTTTTTATAGAAACAATGAGGTCCAAAGCCTTTGCTTTTCCCATTGAACACCGATTTCACCTTGTTTTGGATTAAAAATTTCGAGGAAGGGTAAACAAATTTGACAAAGTACCTTACAACCCAAAGACTTAAAATCACTGTAATTGAATGAAACAAAATCCATTAAAACACTTCAGATGTAAAACAAAAATTATAAACATATTTATAAATTATTTCTTAAATTTTTTAATATTTATAAGAACCATTTTTATTATTATTTCTAAATAGTATTGTACTCCCATCTAAAGTAGAAGATAAGAGTACTATTATACCCCCATCTAAGGTAGAAGATGAGAGTTAAAAAGAAAAAAATATATGGGAGTCTAAAAATCACTTCTCTATAAAAATATATGATAGTTTCTTTGAAGCAAACTTAAGGTTTCTTTGTATCTAATTTGAAATAAATGGGTAAAGATGGATTTGGCACAAAAGAAATGGACCCATGATGGGCCTTGTTCCGGATTTATGATTTGAAGTACCCAGATCCATTGCTAACAGTGATATGTTATGTAAATTATTATTAATGTATGGTTATATTATAACCTTACTTAATCATATATAAAATTATTATTATTTTAAAAGCTTTTGTGACCGATTCTTGCGTTGATCTTATATATAGATTCACTTTAAGAATTTAGATTTCATAAATAATTATAATATATATCACATCACTTAAATAAGTAAGAGAAGCCTCCAAATTTCACACAAAAGAAAAGATATATAATCAAAACAAAAAATAAAAAAACCAAAATTACAAACACAAAAAAATGGGTGCATTTCAGGCACCCATTTCCCATCTTCATCTTCTTCTCTCAAACCCTCACAAAATCCTCAAAAACAACCCAAAAATCCCCTCACTTCTCACCACCACAACCACAAGGCGCTTGCTTCTCTTATCTCTCCCTCTTTCTTCCACTCTTCTTCTCCCTCCAAATCAACCCACTTCTCTTGCTGCCACTTTTGACCCACTTTCTCAGTCTGAGAAAGACGCCAGTGGCGCTGTCTCCCTCAGACTGTCAGAGGCTTTAGACTTATTGGAGAAAGGCAGAGAATTGCAGGCTCTTGGTGACTTTAATCAAGCCCTTCACTACTTTACTCTTGTAACAACTAACAACTCTTCACTTTTCTTCTTTATTATTTTTCTCAAAGGCGTTAATATTATGATTTTCAAGTAGAATTAGGATTTGACTCTTACCCGAAGTAGTGTATTTGTTAGTTTATATTTGAGAATAAAACAATGTGACAAGAGGTTTTCTTCTTGCCTCTTGTGTTAGCTTGATTGTGTGGATATTATTATATGTTTTATTAAAATTTTCTTGTACATTTTATATTAGTTAAATGATTATTTAACTTAGTATCAGAGCTAAACTTTTTATGTTAAAAGCTTCCATACATGATTGTTTAATATGGTATTAGAGTAAAAAGTCTCATATTAAAAGCTTTGATAAATGATTATTTAATATGGTATTAGAGAAAAAGGTCTGGTAATAAAAGTTTCGTTGAGTGATTATGTAACATGATATCAGAGTGATTTCGATTATTAAATCTTAAAATTGGATACACATAAGTATCTCCCTTGACGTTAGGGTTTGTGTTGTTGAATTTCAGGTGGTTAAGAATTACAAAGACTTTGCATTCTCTGAGTATGCAAGAGTGGGAAGAGCACTGGCCTTGTATGAAGTTGGTGACAGAGAAGAAGCTATTGCAGAAATGGAGGATGTTTCCATTTCTTTGAAGGGATATCCAGGTATATCCAAATTAGATTTTCCCCAATTTTATGCAATGTTAGAGAAGAAATTGTAGATTTTTGAACCTTAGGATGACAATTTTTGACACTTCCAAACACCACAAACAAATCGAAAGTTAGCAAGTTAAAATTGACTTCTAATGTTAATATATCATATTCATGCGAGAACTTGTTCAACTCGAAAAATAAATGGATCATATTTGGGTTGAAGATTTTTAACCTGAGAAAGAGTTTCAATTTATTGACATATAGTAACGTGTTATATGAACCTGTTTAATTTTATACAATGATAAATTAAACCAAAATAATGTTTAATTACTCATTTACTAAGTGGGTTGTATTTGAGGGCATTTGGTCTGGTGGTAATATTTTCAATCGCTCAGGGTGGGAGAGTTATAGGGATTGCTAAGGGGAGAGCATGTGTAAATGTATATAACTTAGGGTGTTTCTTAATTTGTTAGATGCGTTCTGAGTTGAAAAGTTGAAGGCGAAACCGTGAGGGCTGTGTCCAAACCGGACAATATCTGACATGTGAGACCCTGGGTTGTTATAAATGATTTTTGACACGATTAACAAAAGGGGTATCTTGCAACATGAATAAAACTGTTACTTTTGGTTTGATTATTTTATAATTTTTCTATTTAACATTTTGTTGGGGTTTTACAGAGGTGCATGCAGCTCTAGCCGCAGCCCTGTATGTGGACAAGCATGCCCCATTGCTTGCAGAGAACCAATTCACAATTGCAACTCTACTTGATCCCCACTACACAGACCTCTCATATGTCAAAGATACAAAGCATTGGCCTCCAAGTTTGGTTAGTTCTCTGCAACACTTCATCACACTTTCTTAGGAATATTTCACATATATAAGTGTATAATATTTTACAGCTGGCTATGAATTTTTTTTTTTTTTTAAATTAAAGCAAGATTAGAAATCCAACACAACAGTAAATTATTGTATGTTGTATATTCCAATACATTATTTACAGTGAAAATGTTACATGGGAGAGTACTTGCAATTTACTGATTTTTTATGCTGCCTTTTTGGTGCATGAATGAACTTTTTACATTTATCTATGAATTTGTATCTTCTCCTGAATTGAGCCCATCGAGTCTGAAAGAATATATAATGTGTGGTTAAGATTTATTCTATATTCTTAGTATTTTTTGTTAATTAGAGATTACGTTTGATATGTACCTACTATTACTAAGGTAAATACTCAAATCACGAGAGTATTTTTGTATGTATGATTCTGTTCGTTCCCATTGATTCACAGGAGTTCATTCTCTTTGTCATTTTGGCTATGATGAATACTTGAATATGATCAAAATAATTGTTGTTAGTAGTTTTAGATTAAATAATTTTTTTTTTTTTTTTTTAAATTCTTATGTGCATAATTTACAATTTATAAGAAGAGTGGCACAAGGCAAAGTAATCTTGGGCACTTACTACTAATTCAAGTATTTTGAAAGAGAAGGATTCAAATGTAAAGAAGTTTAAGAATCAAATGAGAGATTGGTTAGGGCTTTTGAATCCATTATAGTTTAGAATATTCTCCAAATTGTCTTCTTGTATAAGAAAAATAACCAAATAAAAGCTCAAAACCTTGAGATTAATCACATTTGTTAGTAATTATTTAACAATTTAATCTTGAAGGAAAAATACATTCCAAATGAATCAAATTTGCCCTACAGACTTATGAAAATCATTTCAAATATAATGAAAAATAACCAAATAAAAGGGTTAATTTCACAAAGCATCCTTTACAAAAAAGAAAATTCATAGATGTTTACTGGTTTGATTTAAATTTATAAAATTATTTCATAGGTGGTTTGTGGAATTATTTTTAAATAAAATAAACAAACTCTTTATGGTCAAGACTTAGGATTCTTCTTCATTGCATCTATCATCAGGCCTCTCTGCAAATGCTGACAATCCAACCTGTTAAGCTGAATTTTTTCAAAAAATTCTGACAAATACAAAATAAAATAAAATAAAAACTGTTTCTTAATGCTTTACCATTACTCCTGCTTTATCGGTTCTTGTCTGCATGATAACTACTACTGCTGTTGCTGATATTTATTAGCCCTACATTTTGACGTTTGTTCAAAATTATGAACTGCTGTTTGGTACTGTAGATTTTATAGTAGGATAATTTATTTTAGCATATGGATAAGAAACAATAATGGATATATAATATTGAATCATAGAGTTGTATATCAAGTATAGATCTTAATTCAAACTTAGATTTCTACTTAAATAGGGAGTTCGACATTTTCCCACCCAAGGTATGGCGAAACGACACTTTCCCACCCTTCAAGTTTCAAAATGACACTTTTTCACCTTTCGTTAGGTTCTGTTAATATTTTACTGAAATGATGAAAATACCCTTAAATATTTGACTTCATAATTTTTTTTTTTTTAATTAGCCAAAAATTCAAATATTAAAAAGTCAATAATAATAATTAATCCCACCTAAAAAATTAGGAATAATGCTATAGGATTGTTTAAAGTTAAAAGACCTTAATATTTATTTATTTATAATATCATCAATATCTCATCATTATTATTCAATAATCTACTAAATTTATAATGTTTTTCATTTTTATTAATTAACATAGAAAATCAATATTCTTAATTAATTAAATAAACATAGGAAAAAAGATATATTTATAGTTGAACTAATAAATAATCGAGAGTAAAAAATTTAACTTAATTAAATTTTAATTTATAATAAACTAATTAAAAAGTAAACTATTTGAGGGTATTTTTATCTTTTTAATCAAATATTAACTGAAAACATTAACAGAACCTGACAAATGGTGAGAAAATGTCATTTTGAAACTTAACGGGTGGATAAATGTCGTTTCGCCAAACCTTGGGTGGGAAAATGTCGTTCTCCCACTTAAATAACTTCCGCTAACAAGAATTTACTCTATCGTGCGCTCAGTTAACTCTTATTTGCACAAATTTGCTATTCTCAATCATTGAAGACAAAATTTTATAAGTTCCAATTAAATTTTCAAAAGACACAGTTAACTCTTGTTTGCGGGCGTTCAAGTCTGGGTTCTAAAAGACTCGAGACATTTATAAAAGAGAAGGATTATATGATCTCCCTGTAGATGTTTGGGCTTTTTTAGTTGATCTTCAAGGAATACTAAAAGATAAGATTTGGATCAAACTTTCTGACTTTATAATATATTATAGATTGTGGTTTCAATGATCCATATCTTTTTGCTGGACTGGCTATGGAAAGTTGTAGACAATTTTTTATTATTCTTTACCAACATTCACACAATGTCCACTTTTTCTTGAAATCCAAACCCACTATGATTTATATATCTAAAAAAAAGGGTTTACCATAATACAACGCAGTAACAATACATTATCGTGAAACTTATAAATAAAAAACGTAAAACTTGTAGTAAACGCTTTTACATGACCGTAATATAGCTAAAATCATAAAAGAATTATCAAAAGAAAAAAAATTCAGGAGTTCATATTCCTATTTATTAAGTTTAAAAAGTTCTCACCTTTTAAGAACTATTGAAAGTGGATGGTGTCGACAAGGAAGGTGCAAATTTCTTGATCTTGAATAGGGCAAAAAGAAAAGTGCTCTCTATCATAGCATGCTTGATGTTTGGCTTGTTTCCTAGCAGAAATTATGGACCATTGTCCATACTTTGAGTTCTTGTAGACAACTTACTTTTTCATTGGAAAAGGAAACACACCCACCCACCATTTGTTCTTCATATTCTCTTATTGTTGATTGTACTTTGTGGGTCTCCTTTTCTCTTAAGGCATTTAGACTTTCCTTTCAGCTAGTTAGGCCTGCCTAAAATGTGTTCCCTACAGTAATTTTTTATGAAACAATGTGTTCTCAAATCCTCCTAGGGGTTTTTATTATCTATAAGAGGAGATTGCTACTTGCAACTACTATTTAAAGAGACCCATCAACTTTTTTTTTTTTTTTTTTTTGAGAAGAGATATTATCAATTAGGGTATAAACTTTTAGACTTTATAAACAAGAGGATAGAAGTTACAATTTGTTCAATTAGAGGACATTTAACGGTTATTTATCGTTAACTTAAATGGGAAATGATAAAATGACTTAGATGCCCTAGCTTCATTTTATTTTTATTTTGTTTGAAGTGAATTTAGTTCTTAAAATCTGAATTTTAAAAATTTTGTAAACCTACCATAACCTATTTTTTAAAGGAAACCAAAAAAATAAATAAAACTAAAATAAAATTTTATAAAATAAAAAAAAAATTATTTATTTTGTAGAAAGGGATAATTTAAATCTTTTAGTTAGTTTTTTAATTTTACCTATAAAGTAATAATTTAAATTTGTTTAATTTATGTCTTTACCCTTATATAAAGTTAAATTTAACCTTAAATAACTGTTGATTATCTCTTAATTGAATAATTTAAAGACTTTACTAGTCTAATAACACTATTATATTACATTTGTTTGCATTTAATAATACAATGTTTATGATGGAAAAAGAATTTCTTCTTAATCCAAAACAAAATGAATATGTAACATTATCGGATCAGTATTGTAATTTTCAAAAGAGGATGTATAGTTGGAATCAACTTTCACATTGAAATTACAACCATGAGACAAATCAAGTATGGTTTTATTTTGGAAAAGCAAGTGGAAACTTCCTCTAACTTGCTTAGGTCAAAAGCATTCTAGATGTCAAATTTATTATAGGATTAATGAGCAGTGATGATATAAAAAGTTACGTAAGTAGTGATAATTTTTTATGTAAAAAGCAATCAAACCTTTGAATCCTTTTTTAAATTTGTCCCATTTAAAATTTCAACTATGTGGATTATCATCTACATGACAAATTAAACTTATCTAAACAAAAAAAAAAAAAAATCAAATTAATCCAAGTTAAATCCAGACTCTTGTTAAATAGTGTCATAATACACTAAAAAAATTACAATTTTCAATACAATTTCTTTTTATTAAAACTAATCTATAATGTTAGATAGTATCACTAAAATTTTAACCAGTACCATCTAGTAAGTTCTGAATTTTTTAAGAAATATAAACGTTTACAAGAAAGATCGATGATATAGTAATACAAAAAGTTGTATGAAGATGATAGTTGTATTGACGTTTTATGTTTATAGTAAATAAATTAAAAAAACAATGTGATAGGCATTCAATAACTTTGCTAAATTTGTACAAACTAATAACTTATCTAAAATAACATAATGCATAATTACTTATACAGATTCTAACGTTATGGGTTCATCAGGTCAAAATTGATTCAATGAGGTTGGTTAAGTCAGGTTTAATTCTTCATTGGGTTAGTGTCCTTTTACACTCTTTTGGTTGAATCTGCTTACTTTTGTAGGCTCTATAATTGGTAGCATGAATAATTTCTTTTGACTTGAACCACAAGACTACACAATTTCATAAGTTTCTTTTATTTTCATAAAAATAATATTAATAATAATTAAATTTTATATCAAACTATTGCCTTAGCCCCTGTGTATAACTAATTTCAATAGCTAAATGGTTTGTTATCCGAACATAAGAGGAGACGTTGTCTTACCATATAGCAAAGCACAAGTCATGTACAAAATGAATTATAACAAATAACATAAAAAGAACTAATTTGTTAGGCCTAATGCAACCATGAATCAGCCACTTAAAAATCATTTAATCATTTTATAACCCTATATGACAAACCAAATATGTTCTTTATCTACTTCTAATAATTTAAAAACAATACTTTGTTACCCAAAAAAGGAGCTAAAAAGTTAAATACATAGATGGCACTATTCTTTCTTGTAATTTGGTATTAATGCATTAATATTTGGTTAAAATCTAACCCTATTTGTCCCAACTTTGTCCAAATTCAACCTACCATAACTCATTAATCAATTATGACTAATTAATTCATCAATTGGTGAGATCTGCTTAATGGATTTATGTAAATTTGACTATCCATAATCCCTCTTTGATTGAGCTTTTACATTAAAGAATGATTAATTAGTTCTAGTTTAACACTAATCTTTCTTCTAATTTGATATTGAGACAAAGGCCTAACTCCCAATGAAATACTTGGAGCACCTAAATTCACTTTTCATTAATTTTTTTTATTTGCTATCTACCCATTTATTTTTATTTAAATAGTTTATTAGTTATATTATATTGAAGGCCTAAGCCACTTTTAGTTAATAAATCAAACGACCCACCTCACAATAAACTTAGAACATTTTTTTGAAGTGGTAGGTTTAATAGCTAGAGTCTTTCTAAAAAATTTATACAGTAAAACATCTTTATAGTAATACTTTATATATATGAATAATCTCTATGTAGTCATAAAAAAAGATATTTATATCTTATAAATACATAATAACTCGTCAACATGAATATTATCTTGTTGAAGCCAAACTATTTCTAGGTTTTCAAACATGTTTAGAGTTTCTTGGCACGAAAACTATATCTATCTCTTTTATCAATGTCTATAGACTCTATACATTAGATTTGACATGCTTATTAATTATTAATGTAGTATCATACTTTACGTCTATATCACTTGCACAAAGGAAAACTAAGTCAAAACAATAATTTTTGTAATTATATATCTATTAGGTTATAATCTCTTCATATTAATAAAATTAATTTGATCATATCATTATGACCATGGAGAAGTTCCACTATAGTACAAGTTTTGAGTTACTGAATTATGATATTTTGGATGGCTGAGATTCAAATTTCAATATAACATTTATAATTAAAACACTTTGAAAATGAGGCATTATAGTTATAGTCTCAATCAATCAAATATACCAACTCAAGGGCTCTAAATTTGTGTCAAAACTTATGTAAAAAAATGTGAGATAGTTAAATCAAATAACTCTAATTCAAATGGTATACTTAAATTACACATATAAGTAGTTAAGAGTACTTGACCTAAGTTTATGCACTATCAAATTAATATTTTTAAATAATTGAAATTGTATGTGTATGAATATCGTTATATATCTTAAATTTCAAGTGATTTAACTTCTAATATAAGCAATTTCAATTACTAATTATGAACGCAGAGTATAGTAGTATAAGAACGTGCAGATAGATCATGATATTAATAAGTGATTAGTAACCTATGCTAACACAAACTCTAATAATTTTAGTTCGAAACTCAACAATACCTTAGTTAATAATGAAGGCTTAGCGAACAGCTATGAATATAATTACCATTTTTCATCTAAAATATATTTAATCTTATAAATATAATAGCTTGATGATGAGAAAGACAAAAAGATATATTATAAAATGATCAAAGTGCATAGAATCAGGAACAAGGTTATGATGAAGTGTTGAAATGAGGTTAAAAAATTTAATGTATTTCAGAAAACAATAATAAAAGTTTGAGGAATCTTCATCATAACTTTGACATTCTAACCCCCTACTCTTTATAAAAACCTTTTAAAACAAATAGACAATTTTTTTATTTTTATTTTTATTTTTATGAAATATTATTCTATAATCTGAAAGTTGCATAGGTTACGTGCAAACATCAAACTTTTAGTGAATTTTTTTTTTTTTTTTTCAGCAAATCTTAATTAATTTAGCAATCATCATTAATTATAATAATAGTAATTAAGTGGGGAATTGAATAGTTCACATGGCAGACAAGAAAGTGTTCAAAGCCCAAATTTTCTTCATATTAATTATTATTCTTTCTTTTGTTTTGTCTTCTTCTCTTCTTTCACTTGATTCATAGATCTCCCAATTTGTTTATGCCAAAATTATTTAATTGTTTTTGGGGAACATTTAAGTTTGCTTTTATTGCTTATTCATTTGATAGAGAGAAACCAATGAAATTAAAGTTGTCTTTTCCCCCACATTTTGGGTTTGGAGGGATCCTACATCATCCATATGCATAGTTACACTAGAAATAATCAAATGTATAAATATAACATCAAAAATTCTCAATACAAGTAATTATATATATATATATATATATGTTATTTCCAAGCTTATATCTATTGATTAATTAATGTGGTATGAATTTGAATATATGGGCCGTCAAAAAGTCATAGCAAAGAACCAATCGAATAATCCTTTAACTTGCTTTGAATTGTCAAAAGTTTTTTATTTTTTTTATTTTTTTTAAATGCATGTATTCAACACTCAAGTGGCATCACAACTGGAAATCAATTTGGATTCAAAGTTATATAAAAGAAATTGGATAAATAGGTGAGGTGTGTTTGAATAAAATTCCAATATGACTTAAATATTTCTAAAAAATCATCAGAAATCCTCTCTTAGGTAAACATAAAATTTGTTCAAACCTTTCTTAGAAGTGGTAGGTCATGGTCATCAACCTAAATCCAATTTAACAAAATTCTCTTTGTATTTTACCCAAAATTCAAAACTAATAAATAAATCACCTTACAAATAAGTGAGTTGGTCAACACATATCACAAACTAGCCACTTTATTAGAAATTTCGGGTACTTATATTTTGGTAACTCAGAACCCTTTTTAAGTTCAACCAAATTTAGGAATATGAATATATGATTTGATCATTTTAGAATAACTAGTAACAATCGTTGAAATGATATATATTATTTAAAAATAATTATCATTTTATAGTAATATAATACTTCCTGTTAGAAATTTATTAAGCTCATCATGAGCATTGTGATCCAAACTTCAAAACACCATTAATAATTGTTTAATTTTTAATTCTCAACAAATGTCAGTAACATTTTTTTTTTCTAACTCTATTGTCTATCTTTTCATACGTAGATAGAAGATAAAACTTAAATATTTTTAAGTTTGTATACGGTTTTCTTTGTTTTTTATACACATGACAAAAGTTGAGTGATTGAGAGTGAAAAACAGTATTAAAATATCATAACACTCTTAATAATTATTCAAAGTTTAATTTTTTTTTTCTTTTTTTTTTTTGAGAAATGCTTATAACATGCTTTTTTATTCTTCTCTTTGCGCATGTGTAAAAGATCAAATTTAAGTATTTTTATCACAATATTAACATAAGATTTTATTTATCTTTTACATACGTGTCAAGAGTCGTTACAATTTTCTTATCTTTCATACACATATCAAGAGTTGATAAAATTTCTTTTATCTTTTATACACGTGGTAAAAAGTCAATATGATTTTTTTTTTTTTTATCTTTTATACAGGTAACAAGAGAATGCAATTTTCATTTATCCTTTATAAGAAAATTTATTGGAAAAATTGTGTGATTTTCATCGATCTTTTTCTCTATTCTGGTGAGTCAATTTGACTAGATTGATAAATTTAGGAAGATGATGAAGGGGACCATTGTTACCGTTCACACAATTATTCTATATTATTACTTGTAATTTCTTACTCTTTTTCATGGATAAGGCCCCATTTTCCTTCTCTGTCTATTGTTTCTACATTGTTGTTCTCTTCTGATTCCTCTCTCCTCCCACTCTCTTTCCCATGTGTTTTTCTCTGTCACTCTGAACTCCTTCACCTTCACTCTTTATTTCTGCCATTTCAGTCCCATGTAATTAATTTTCTTCAACACTCCACTTCACTTTGAGTAATCCTTTTCTCCTTTCTTCCATGGAGGAAGCTCAACAAATGGCCATTCCCCACTTGTTTAGATGTCCAATAAGTCTAGACTTGTTCACAGATCCAGTCACTCTCTGCACAGGCCAAACTTACGACCGATCCAGCATCGAAAAATGGCTGGCGGCCGGTAATCTTACTTGTCCTGTGACAATGCAGAAGCTTCATGATCCTTCCTTTGTTCCCAATCACACTCTCCGCCATTTCATCCATCAATGGCTTCAAATGGGTGGTCGCCATTTTGATCCTGGTTACTTGACAAAAACTGATATTTTCTCTGTGCTAAAACACAATCTTGAATCTCAGGAAACCACCATGAAAACCAAGCTTCAAACTCTTGAAAATGTCAATCTTCTTGTCTCCAAAGAACCCTCTTTTTTGCTCCAACTTGGCTTCTTGTCTTTACTTCTCAAACAGCTTTTTGGAAAAGCTGAATCTGAACTCTCCCAGGACTACATAAAGTTTCTCCAGGAAGCTCTTTTGTGTGTTTCAAGGCTGCTGCTTCCAGGGCAGTTCAAGTGCTTAAACATTCTGATTGAAGACTCCAATTTGGAAAATTTTATCTCTTTGTTTGAGAGAGGCAATAGCAAGATCAAGAAAATTCTGTGTCATTTAATAGATGTAATCTCCTCCTCTCCGGAAACAAAAAAACTTTGTTCTCAGCTTGGAAAAAGCCACAGGATTTTGGATGTCATTGTGATGATTATTCTCCAGGATTCTGAATTATCCGACCCTGGAATCCAAGCATTATCAGGATTATGCTCCCTGGAATCGAACCGCGAAAGCATGGTTCATTCAGGAGGCATAAACGGGTTCATAACGTACATTCTGAATGCGGAGAGGAGGCGAAAGAGCTTGGTGGCGATGGCAATGTCAAGAGTTGAACAACTTTTGGTGTTGGAGGGTGCGAAAGAGGGAGTTGTGAAGCATCCCAATGGTGTTCAGGCTCTGGTGAAGATGGTTTTCAGAGTGTCGGATCATGAAGGAAGTGAAAGTGCTGTGAATTCATTGATGATTTTGTGTTGTGATTCGGAAGAGGTTAGAGAAGAAGCCATTGGAGGTGGGGTTTTGAGTCAATTGTTGCTTCTTTTACAGAGCCAGTGCAGTAATAGGACCAAGACCAAGGCAAGACTGTTGCTCAAAATGCTTAGGTCCAAATGGGCTGAAGAGCGAAAGCATTTGTAGGCTAATCAGGATTTTNCAATAGCAAGATCAAGAAAATTCTGTGTCATTTAATAGATGTAATCTCCTCCTCTCCGGAAACAAAAAAACTTTGTTCTCAGCTTGGAAAAAGCCACAGGATTTTGGATGTCATTGTGATGATTATTCTCCAGGATTCTGAATTATCCGACCCTGGAATCCAAGCATTATCAGGATTATGCTCCCTGGAATCGAACCGCGAAAGCGTGGTTCATTCAGGAGGCATAACCGGGTTCATAACGTACATTCTGAATGCGGAGAGAAGGCGAAAGAGCTTGGTGGCGATGGCGATTTCAAGAGTTGAACAACTTTTGGTGTTGGAGGATGCGAAAGAGGGAGTTGTGAAGCATCCCAATGGTGTTCAGGCTCTGGTGAAGATGGTTTTCAGAGTGTCGGATCATGAAGGAAGTGAAAGTGCTTTGAATTCATTGATGATTTTGTGTTGTGATTCGGTAGAGTTTAGAGAAGAAGCCATTGGAGGTGGGGTTTTGAGTCAATTGTTGCTTCTTTTACAGAGCCAGTGCAGTAATAGGACCAAGACCAAGGCAAGACTGTTGCTCAAAATGCTTAGGTCCAAATGGGCTGAAGAGCGAAAGCATTTGTAG